GCCTGGCCCACGTGCACTCCCCTGACCCCCAGTTCCCCCCCACAGCATGCAGAGAGGCAAGAGACAGTGCTAAACCTTATTGAGCAGCCCATGCCCCCACAGCTAGGTAGTCACGGGCTTCTCATATGCCAAGGAATGCATCAATGCTGGTGGCAACGTTCTCCTCAGCAGTGAGGGGCAGGGACACATAGTGCAGCCACAGGTAGCCCTCCAGGCAGCAGTAGAGGTTTTGGGGAAGCCCAGGCTTGTCCACCACAGCATTATAGCACAAGGTCCCATACCAGGAGCTCAGGTGCACCTGGGGCACCATAAGGATCATCATCAGCAGGGTACAGTGGGTTTGGGCACCCCTTGGTCCACACAAAAGATCATCATGCACCACCCAGAGCACATGCAGCAGGGGCATGTTTGGGGTGCAGCAGCAGCGTGGTGGGGGGTTGGCCCTGGGTCACCTCCCAAGAGAGGCCACCAGTGGGGAGGGTGGGGGTGTGGATAACTCCTCATCCCAGTTTTCCAGGAGTCCTGTGCCCCTTGAGCCTAGGTGCTGCAGGCTGGGTGGCAGCACAGCAGAGCAGTAGGCCTGCAAGAGGAGATTGGGGGCAGTGGGGTCTGGAGCCACAGCAGCAGGTGCTGCCAGGAGTGTGGCCTGTCCCATCCTGGGGATGGGGCAGGGGAGACGGGCTTTCTGTGGCCAGCACCCAGTGGCCCAACAGCTCCAGGAGAGAACACAGGGATGGTGGGGCTCAGCTGGCACCTGCCGGGGCCCAGGCCTGCCCAGATGACTTACCATGTTCTCTGGGAACCTGTGCACACCCAGCCCCCAATCTGAGGCCAGGCAGATGCTCTGGTACAGAGCATCTTATCTCTGAAATGTTGCAAGCTCTCACAAACTGAGAGTCCTCGAGGCAGCCGAAAGCTCACTCTACCAGGGGATAGGCACCTGGCCTAGGCACCCAGGTGCTTAAAGTCAGCCTGGCAGGGGTCCAGGTGGTTGTTGTAGGGCTGCATCAGCCAAGACAGGACAGGCAGGCAGTGTTCCCGATAAGCAGGGACGGGACCACAACACTGCCCAGCTGAAGGTCTGGCACCCCTGGTGCAACGTACCCACTGTCCTCGAATCCCATCAGGTCAGAGTTGCGAAACATGTGGGCGCTGCCTGCCCAACTGGCACTCACATGGGTGAATGTGTTGTGATGTTCCACGTCAGCCTGCAGGACTATGGAGTGAAATCCCCTACAGCTGTAATAGGGGTGGTCTTTATGGGGTGGGAAGGTGAGAGGGATGGCAGCCCCATCCAGGGCCCTGATACACTGTGGGAATCTCAGTGCACAGAACTCCACCACCACTGCCAGGGGGTCATGGATGTGGAGCATGGTGTGCCTCAGCACATCCTGGAGGCCCTACACACCTCCTCCCAGATGGTCTTCCCAGCGGTTGCCTTGCCCATGCCAAACAGGTGTGCAATGTACCAGAGGCAGGAGGGTGTGGCCAACTTGAGCAGGGCAAAGGCCAGCTGGCTGTCTGCAGGGAAGGCCGGACACATGCCAGTGTCCTGCTGCTCCAGGTGGGGCTGGAGGTGCTGGAGAAGGTCCCAGAAGGTGGCCCGGGTCGTGCAGAAGCAGTCTAGCTACACTAGAGTATCTTACACCAGAGTAAATTTAGGTCAGATCAAATGCATGTGTAGATGCACCCACATTTTCAGGGAGGAAATTTACATGGGATTAAGTGTTTTTACTGTGCAGTAAGCACATGCACGTGTAGACACACATGCTTACTACACAGTAAATTATGCTAATGTGCATTTACGCATCTTGTGTAGAACTGCTCTCACAGTTTCTCTTTCCCAGTCCACGTGCAGAAGGCAACATGCAATTAGGTTGCTGCACTGTGGACCTGGAGTCCCAGGTGGAAATCCTGACTCCACTCAAATTAGTGAGATTTTGTCATTGACTTCTATTGAGCCACGATTTTGTATTTTGTTTCCATTTCTTTGTCTGCCACTGATCTGCTGTGTGACATTTGGCAAATTACTTCATCTCCCCATGTGTAATTTTTCCCATTTTAAAATGGGCATAACAATGCTAATTGAACACTTTGGGATTTAAGTAATAAGAGCAAAGTATTTTTTTCCATTGCAGGAGACACTATGATTTTGAATGATTGTATCTGAGTACCTTTTTCTTTACCAGTTTGAGAATAAATTTCTTCCCTCTTATAGTTACATGGATGTCTCACTTTGAAGTCAATGGGTCTGCCCACATGCCTTTCCTTACAAGAAATTATCCCCAAACCTGAATTTATCCCACTTAGCTTGTTATGATGTACAATAATAGCCTTTCTGTGGAAAAAAGAGCACAACTAAGCATGAGGTCTAACCAGTGCCTCATAAAGCAATAAGATCACTTCTTTTGATGCGTATTCCATTTCCATTAAAAATATTTATAGAGTTTAGTAGGAACAGGACAGAACACATCTTGGCAAACACCAAGTAAAGCAATCAGAAACAATATACCCACACGTCCATTGATTGTATGTCACTGAGTGATGACAGCAGTGGCATGCCAGTTTTAATAACTATGCAATATACAGCAACACAGGATTATCAAAGAGTAAAGCAGTATGAAAAAAAAATACTAAAACACCTCAGTTCCTTTTTGATGCCTTTTTAATATCATGTTTGCCTTTTAAACTGTAAATATACAAGGCTAATGGTAATAACTCAGGTACCCCTTTCCTGTTTAGCGTGTGCAACAGCACAACTGCTCTATTCACTCTGTACTCATTTGTTTAAAATGGGCCTTTTGTTTATTGTTCCAGGCCCTATACTGGGAGTGGGTCTACACGAAATGCCGACTGCGCAGTAGCCTAATAATACTGTGCAATAGCGTGTCAGCACACAGTGCTAATATGCTACTGTGCAATATTATTAGGCTACTGTACAGTAGTGTCACTTTAAAAATGTTTGCTGGCACTACTATGCAGTAACTCCAGTTACTGCATATATATTTAGGACTTGCTAATACAAGTACTTAATAAATGTGGAATAATGACCCTGCAGTAGTGTCTCATGTAGATGCACCCTGGGTTGTAGAATACTCATTATGTTCTGCATCTCCACCTTTGGTCAAAAAAAATCAGTCTTATTATTGACACAGATCATCTCTACTATTTTTTCTCCCTTTATCCATCCTCTTTGTTTTACTTTTTCTTTCACTGAGAACATGTTTTAATTTTCTGCTTCCTCCATTTAACATCTAATCTTCCTACTCCTTATATGGTCTTACCTTTCTCCTTTGCCTTTTACTTGTCTTACCTTTCTTCTTCACTTGTCTTTCATCTTCCTTCTCCGTTTATTGCTCACCCTTCATTCCATCTTCCCTTGACCCAGGTTTCCTTTGCTGTCCCTTGTGCTCTCTGCCACTCCTCCATCCCCATATCCTTCACTCTATCTGTTTCCTTTCCTTTCTGCCTCTGTCCATTTCCTGTACTACCACCCACGCTGTGTTTGTTTCCTTTCCCCTCCTGCATTACCTATCATCCAGTATCTCATACTGGATGCCACAGTGATGACTGATGAAGACTGAAAAGAGGAAAGAAGACAACAGTTGAGGACAGCATCAGGAATTAGACACAGGCTAACTTTTATATGAAATACTCTTGTCAGGAAAAAATAATTTCCTGACAAGAGGAAACAGGAAGAAAACTTAAAATGTATTTAATATTGATGAATTGCAAAGGATATAGGCCTAGAATCTATGACATACATGAGGCATTATAAAAGGCCTGTTTTACTGTGAGCTTAAAAATAGGTACAACATAAGTAATGGAGAAACAAAAATAAAACTGAAATATATCTGCAGTGGTACAGGATTCTGGCAATATATATATAGAGAGAAATGCCTCTGGAGGATGTGGAGAGGCTAGTGAATGAGACAAATACAAAAACAAGACCAGGAATGTATGTAATCACAGCTAAAGCATGAAAAGATGGTGAATCAGAGGCAGTAAAAAACCTGCATCAAGTAATTAGAGCAGGTTGAAAAACAGAAAGCACCACAGAACTGAGAACTAAGTGCTGATTATTCCGTTACACATGATGGAAAAAACAGGAGGAATGGAAACTGCCAGCAGCACCAGCTTACTGAGGATACCAGACACACACTGCTCATTAGAGTAATTTTAACCAGGACACGGGGTTATCTGGATGAAACAATGGAATGCAGAGAAGCCAGGATGGTTCTGAAGAGGATCTGGACTGTGCTGATTAAATGCATCTCCGTATGAGTGGTTGAAAGTGTTCAGTCAGGGATTTGCTTGGGTCATGCTTCCTAAAGTTTAGTAAGGCATGTGGCTTATCTACTGTACAGTGGCATTACTTTCATTTCAAGTTTCACCAGTTCTGAAATTCCCTGTTACTGGCTTGATTTGGCCACCTGAAATCATGCTTTCTGAGCAACAACTAACTCTCCAAGTATTTCTATGGAGATGCTTAGAAAGCACAAGGTAAAAAACATACCAAAACACTTTAAAAAAGTGCAAAACTGAGAGTAAGGTACTACAAGTGACAGAAGCGGACCCAGAACGAACAGACAACCTCTCCTGACCGAGTGAAAACTTCTGAAATGGAAAAGGCTCTGTAGGACCACCCCTACTCTACATGGTGGTTGTCTCATAAATGGAGACACATTATTGTCTGCCAAAGATTCCAACTAGGTGCATATCCAGTATTTCTGTAGCATCTCAGACTATATTAGCTAGACCTCTGAAAACCACAGAGTAATAACAGTGCATTTTTATTTCTCTGTGATTTTCCCAACTTTTTAAACAGTTCAGCTTCATAAACCTTTGGCAGAGATCAGTTCTTACTTATGTTTGAAAGCCACATTATTTATATTAATAGGATAGGAGATAGTCGCCTGACTGGATAATACAAAACTGTGGTTCACTCATTTGAAATCTTACCAGTTTCAAAGGATACAAGTGGAGGAAATAGTCTCTCAATTAAAACATAGAATATATACACAGATTCTTTGATGAATATGAAATGTATATAACAAAGAGTGGTAGAAAAAAGAATACAGAGTACAGAAGACTGTTTCATCCATTATGGAACTACCACCATTAACAGTGGGAGATGCAGAAATGGATCAAAGGAAACATATGACCCCACTGAATGATCCCTATGGAATGTTTTCAACCATTGGCTTAAGGCAGAAGACACCATGATAAAATAAAAAGTATGTTAATTGTTGGGAGCAAAGAATCCAAATACTTCATATTAGCTAAATAATAATAACAGCTTAAACTGTACTTTAAGTGGCTGAAATAATTTCAGCCTCCAACTTTAGGAGGAACAGAATAGACTATATCTTGGCACCTTGAGTAGAGCAATCAGAACCAATATGCCCACATGTACATTTACCATACATCACTCACCATATATACATGTAAGTTGTCCACAAAACTTTGTTGCCAACTGCTTATTAATATTTCCTGTAAAATAAGAAATAAGGCAAGATGGTCATCAATCTGAAAGCTGGCCAGTCGAACAAGAACAAATAAAGTTTCAGCTTATTAGCCACAAACTGAGATACCATGTAGGAACAGAGGACTGGAAGAGACCCTTCAGTTCAAAGAAACGGAGAGCTGGGAGAGACCTTTCATTTCAACCCACTTGAGTCCAGCCCACTCCTTCTGCAGCACCATGCCTTTCATAAACTTGTTGAGCTCCATGTTAGAAGCCCCTAAATACTCCCAGCAGGAGTAAAATATCCTCTGCTTTTCAGATGATGCTGTCCCAGTCCTGAATATCTTCATAAACCAATCTGGGTCATGAAATAAATGGAAATTATTCCAGCATAGGAGCTGTAAACGTACAGACATGGGTAGAGGCGGAAGAGTCGTACAAAGTGTGGACATAGTCATTGAATTCTGATCTTTTATTTTATTTAGAGCATATGTTTGCCATTGTAGGAATGAGAGGAAGGAGCTCTTTTTTCCCCTAGTGAAACAAAGCTCTTTTCATATGTAGCTGAAGAGAGTCTGGGATTTTGCATTTTGTAATGAGTGAGAATGGATGCCTAGTACAGTAAATATTTGTTTCAGATTAGCTTGAACAGCTATATTCTGCACAATGCCTATGATCTCTTGGTTGAACCAAGACTCATGTAAGCATATTTATGGTTGATAACATCTCTCTAGGCATGATCTTCAGAGATGCCAAGTGCCTTCAACAACTTTGACATATTAAATTAATTCAGAGTTCTTGGCAGCATGCAGGTTGCATTCATATCCTTATGACATTTGTTCCTAAATTAGGGCCTGATTGTGCTCTTAAGCACAGCCCCTAAAAGAAATGGCATGTCAAGGGAAGCCAGGAGATGCCAAAGAAACTACAACCCTATTTATACCCTCTCCCTCCTTGTCCCTGAGTAGGAGAAACACAATCATCAAAATCATGGTTTGAAGTGTTGGCAAAGGTCAGAGGTATTACCTGACAGGAGCCACGACATAAACACTATGAACCCCTGTACAATGAGAGCTCTCACGAAGTAGAATAAAAGAGCACAAACATTCAAAATGAAATGCTCAAATTTGGTGTGGAAACATGAGAAGAAGAAGTCGAAGGAACAAGGGCTGTATCCCTTTACCTGATTCAGACTGCTGTGCTGGACAGCATATTATGTGTGTAAGAGGAGGTGGGGAAGGGAAAGTGAGGAAAGGGGGACGTAAGATTTCATACACTATCTGCCTCCTGAAGCAAAAATGGCAGCAGAAGCCAGGAGAGTCTGCTTTCTTATTTGCATCCAGAACAGCAGTCCAGGGAGATGATGTGGGAGAATGGAAGCCTTGTTCCTTTGTTTTCCCATGTGCCATTGCAATCTAGGTTTCAGCATAACCTGGACATTTATACAAACTGGATAGGATCTTTATGCTCATCTGAAATTAGCTTAGAAATCTGTATTCTATACCATAACTTAGTCGATTAGTTTATTCAAACTGCATTTGTTGCCACGTTCATATATAAAAATGGCTAGCCTGACTAGCTTTTTTACAATACAAAAAAATTAATTATCTTAAATAGCTATTGTTCAGAGACTAGCAAAAAATTGAAAGATTTATATAAAATACATAGAAAATAATGCTGTTACATAAGTAAATAATATTTATATCAGACATTCCTTATCACAATGTTTTGAAGTACATGCATACTTATTGTGCATGCTCCTATTACAAGAAAAATGTGTTAAAAGGACATTAAGATCACAAAGTTGACTATTCAAAAATTAGAAACATAGGAAATACCAGAATTAAACTTTTCTATCTAACCTTGTCCTTATCTTTGCTCCTATCAGCACCCCTAGCCTGCCTTGGGCTCTCTCTCTTTTTTACTCCTATTTCTTCTTCAGCAGGTTGTGTGCTCAAACCAGTACTTATAAAAAAAACCTGTCTCTTTCTGGTTCCAGTACCACAATGACTTCTGCACCTTTGTAATTGCAAAGAAAATCCTGTTCAGGTTTAAGCAAACATAGCATCATTGGAGTATTTTGCGGCAAGCCCTCTAACAAGACTCTATTGAGAATGTGGACACCGTGATTTTTCAAAGACACAGCTTGATCATACAGTGGTGGAATTGCACAGTCCCTCTCTAAAGCATGAAGGTTCAAGAGCTTCTCAGTGAGATACCTGTAAGAGCTGTAATAACATTTTCCCCCCTAACTTCATTCTCAGAAACGCTTTTTTTCTGAAACTTAAAAAAGGCAACGTAAGTAGACAGATTTAAGCTCACCTGGCACGAAAGTCTCAGGATTAAATACTTAAAATTAGGCACAGTTGTAAGCAATCAAAACCTGAATCTTATAATGGAAAATGTTAGTCGCTGTTAACTATAGGTGTCACAATTCAATAGCAGCTTTGCCTATAGTTGGCTATACAATGTATTGATGCATGATAGTAAAAAAAGAAATATTCTTATACGTGTGCATGCACATCTATCTATCTATCTAGCTATCTAGCTATCTACTTCAATATATTCATGACCTTTTTTCCTGTATGACCTTCCTCTGGTACCCCAGAGGTCACTGTAATTTATTTATTAGCATTTTTAGAGATACAGTTAAAATAATAACACTGAAGACTTTAAACACACACAACTAGAAGAATACTACATAAAGCTTCATTCCAAAGCAATTTGGGGGGGGGGAAGGGACTTTTTCTTTGGAAATTTTAATCTGCAATGATTGTTTTGTCTGAAGGCATACATAAAAGAAAGATTTTGAGCAAATACTCATCTGGTGGAAATTAGCACAGTTCCATTGGCTTCAATGCAGTAGTACCGATTTATACCAGCTGAGACTGTGTCCCGTGGCTTCCATTTTGAGGTAAGAGAATGAACTAGTGAACAAATTATTCCTCCAGTGTACTATAAACATAGTTACAAATGAGTCCCATGGATTAGATCTGGGTGGGCTCATGTAACTGCTTGAGAACTCTAAAGCAGATTTGCAATATGGTCATCTTCTATAACTTCAAATGATACATTAGTATGAGGCCCTCTTTTCCCATAAGGTGAGCATGTAGCATTTAAATGGCTTGTCCATCCCTCTCAAACCTGGAGTCCATCCTTAAAGCCATCTGTAATAACTGGATTTACAGTATAGAGGAATAACATCAGGAGAGAGAGTTTCTTGCAGAGCAAGGAAGCAGCAGGGAGCAAGGAAAAAGGTTTCTGCTCATCTGTACTTAACAGCTGGGGAGACCGCATGGACTTCTTGGCCTATAACTTCTTACTGACTTCTTTGAAATTATTTAGGGTGAAAAGATGGGCCCAGTAAAGCTTCAGTATATCCAGCAGCCTTTCCCCTATTTTCCCTTGTAGGGTGAAATTGCAGGACACAACCCTCTTTTTCTCCACATGAGAACCATGCAAGTTACTGTAGGTGGGGAAGATAGATTATATGAGTTGCATGTCCACCCTTAAGTATATCAATAGCTCCTGGCCACAGAATGAATTTAAGCATATTTCTCATACCCATGTAAATTGGCCCAGTTATTTGTTATTATTGCCTTTGCTTGGATTACTGTATTTCCTTTCTGTACAGCCTTACAAATTCCTTATTCTCTGGACTCCAGGGCTAGTTGGCTCAATGTTAAACTGGTGGGTGCAGTTGTTATATGAGACTTATGAGCTCATTAGTAGCATGTAGTTTATAGTTCATAATCTGTTGCTCAGTTAATCTGAATAATGAGGTACCTCCCTTTCACAGGTCCTGAAGGAAGTGAATCATTTTAATTTGTGTATCACTAGATTAAGTTTGTTTTCCCTCTTTTTGATTTTGAATGGTTTTAGGGAATTAAACATATTTTATTTTAGGAGAAAAAATAGTTAGAATTAAAACCAGATTCTTCTGACTAGCAGCAGCAGCAATCTGTGAGCTAGTGACATATATGTGTAATATCTCCCTTGAGACTAGGGAAGTTCTTTAAATGTTGAAACTGGCTTAAATAATTTAAATTCATAACGGTGGTAAAAATTCCTTGGCTAATAAAGTTAGACTGATTTCGTTGCTTCCAATTTAATCTAAAATACTTGAAATTCTTATTTATAGTGTTGACTTATTTGAATATCTTAATTGAATATTTTACATCCTTTACTGTGTAACTTCAGAACAAATCAAGCTAATATTACCAGTATCATGCTGCTTAATACAAATAAGAAACATTTAATTAAGCAAGCAGTCGCATTTTCAACCGATGTTGTATTTGCTAGTGTGTACAGAGCCTGCAAAGTGTCTGACTACTTTGAATACCTCCTAAAACTTAGAAGTGTGGATTTTGCTTTATCATAGCATGTATGTTTTAGCTTAAGCCCAACTAATTGAAATGATTCTTGTTCATTTCTTCTTGGCCTGGTGGAGAATTTTTCAATGAAACATGTTTTGTCAGAACATGCCAATTCATTCAAATTTTTGGGAGGAATATACTGTACCTGGTTCATCAGGACAGGTAGGTTCCTAAGCTGTTCCCCCTTATCAGTACAGAACATAATCAATGGACCAAATAACACAGATAAAAAATTCTGGAATTCATTCATCTGCCCCTCTACCAAACTCATATACATTATCACATGCTTACAGTGCCTTTCTACTGTCTATGTTGGACAGATAAGATGATCCCTACGTGAAAGAATGAATGGACTCATATTTGACATAAATTCCAAAAAAGACACAAAAGCCTGTGGCAGAACACTTTAACCTCTGACCTCAGTGTAGCTGATTTTAAACAACAAATTTTAAAAACCAACTTGAAGGGGAACTTGCAGAACAAGAAATTATCTACAGGCTGGATTGTGTTAAGTAAGGTCTCAAAAGAGACTCTGAATTCCTAGCCCATTACTTGGACTAGCTCTTGTAACCCTTATGTCTCAATGGGTTAACTACTTTGTTTATCCCTTTTGATCTTTCATTCCACCTTCTTTCTGGGCATGTCTACTT